GAGTTCGAATTTGACGGCTATCACAGTCTCCCCTTGTTAGAGAAATTTCGTCCCGAAATTTACTTGTTCACTCCAAATCAAAACTTGTTAAGGAAAAGATGTGGGTACTTGCTTCTCAGGGAATCTTCTCTTTCCCATGTATATTCCGGTCCATGCCACGAAGTCCAATGAAGTTTTACAATTGGGATTTGTTTGTGCCTCAACTGCTTAACCTTACGATCGAGAATTTCGACCGGCTCCTCTATGAAACATAGTTGTTCATTAACTTGAATATCTTCCAGAGGTAGAACTAAAGACTCGTCGACTAAGCACTTCTTAAGATTCGACACATGAAACGTGTCATGGATGGCACTAAGCTTCGGGGGTAAGCTGAGCTTGTATGCAACTGGTCCGATTCTTTCGAGTATTTCGAACAGACCAATGTATCTGGGACCTAGATTGCCTCTCTTCCTGAATCGTACTAGTCCCTTCCATGGCGATACCTTTAAGAGTACTTTATCCCTTACTTGGAATTCTAACGGCTTTCTCCGATTATCCGCATAACTCTTCTGACGGTCTCTTGCTGTCTGGAGTCTCTCCTTGGTGATTGAAATCTTGTCGGTGGTTTCCTGAATAATATCGGGTGTTGTCAACTGTCTATCTCTGATTTCTACCCTGTTAAGCGGTGATCTGCATTTACGTTTGTATAGGGCTTCGTCCGGTGCACACTCTATGCTGGTGTGATAGCTGTTGTTATAAGAGAATTCAACAAGGGGCAGATGGGTATTCCAACTCCCACCAAAATCTATTACACACACACGTAATATATCCTCAAGCGTTTGAATAGTTCTTTCCGATTGTCCATCTGTTTGAGGATGATAAGAGTGCTTAAGTCCAAGCGCGTACCCAACGCCTTTTGAAGAGACTGTCAAAATCGTAATATAAAACGTGTATCTCTATCCGAAATGATGGAAATAGGCACACCATGACGTGTAACTATTTCATTGATGTAGATTTGTGCATGCCTTTCCATGCTGAAATCTTCACGAATGGGAATGAAATGAGCTGATTTGATAAGTCGGTCTACTATAACCCATATAGTATCGTGCCCCTTTCCAGTTATGGGTAGCTTAATTACGAAATCCATGGTTATTTGCTCCCATTTCCATTGAGGTATCTCAGGTTGTTGAAGAAGACCAGATGGTTTCTGGTGTTCAGCTTTTACTCTTGCACGGGTAATACATCGACTTACGTATATGGCAACGTCTCTTTTCATTCCTGGCCACCAGTAATATTCTCTTATCTCTTTRTACWTCTTATCRGATCCTGGGTGAATCGAATATTTGGAACGATGGGCCTCCTCCATAATTGTAGACCGAAGGATGTCATTCCTTGGTATCCAAACTCTGTCCTTGTAGTAACGCACTCCATCCGCTCGGGTTTCGAATTCCTTCTCTAGGTGATGCAAGGTCTCATCCTTCAAATTCTCTGATTTCAATGCCTCATGTTGAGCTTCAAGAATTTGCTTTTTCAGGTTCGTTTGAACCAAAATTCCCATTGCTCGTACTCTTGACGGTTTCACCCTTTCCTTTCGGCTTAAGGCATCGGCTACCACGTTAGCTTTCCATGGATGGTATTTTATTTCACATTCATAATCGTTGAGAAGTTCGATGTTCAACATCTTTTGGTTTAAAATATGTTGAAGGCTTTTGTGATCAGTGAAGATGGTGCATTTGGTGCCGTAGAGATAATGTCTCCAAATCTTGAGTGCAAACACCACTACTCCTAGCTCTAAGTCATGAGTGGTGTAGTTCTTCTCGTGAATCTTCAGTTGTCTCGATGCGTATACGATAACTTTTTCCTTTTGCATTAGTACACATCCCAAGCCTTGGTGTGATGCATCGCAATATACCACAAAATTCTCCGTACCTTCTGGTAGCGCTAAGATCAGTGCATGACATAACTTATGTTTGAGCAATTGGAATGTTTCTTCTTGCTTTTCTCCCAAATAATGCACTCCATCTTACAGGATTCGGGTAATCTTTTCCGAACAACCTATCTCAACTCGATATTTGGATAGCCAATCCATACCTACAACTACGTCAAAGCTTCCTAATTTGGTTGGGATGAGGTCTATACTAAAATCCTTTTTGGCTAAGCTTAAAGTGTAGTCCTTAATTACGTCCCTAGCCCTAACTTCCTGACCATTGGC